AAAGGGCCCCTCCCTCTGTCACTCTTCCTCTCGCTCGTATATCACTGCCTGTCTGACTCATAGCTTTGATGCCCTGATAGAGAGTGGGACCCCCCCGAGCTTTAGAAGACAGTTCAAATGACCTGACCTTTTGGCTGCATTTCAGCTGCGAAATGAAGGTGCCCCGGGCTTTGCAGCCACATTCGGTGCTAGTTGTTTCTGCATCTGATTGGTTTGTATGGATTTTGTTGTCTTTGTAAAGACAAATTACAAACTGTTCCCGACTTACAACCTATGTGACTTACGATGAATTGCACATACAACTGAAGTTTATAGTAAAAAGAAAGATTAAGCAAATGAATGTATCAATTAATTTCGGGTGGCCAAATGTCTAGCAGTGCAACACTGCCTAGTGCATGCTATGCTCTGTACGATATTTACTGTATGCTGCATGGTGTATAGTACTGTACTTCTGTCTGTGCTCACCCGGTGTTATTGCTGTTTGCTTCCTTCTTTGTCTTAATAAATCTATTTCTTAATAATGAATGTATATTTTTCCCTTTATAATTAATACCGTATATGCAATAATTTTATGACAGGGTACTGCCACACAACGAAAAACAGCAAGCATCTGCACTAAATATGTCACATTGCAGGAATCCTGAACAAGTAATTTTGGATAAAGCATACTATTATTATTATATTTGTCGTTGCTGTTGTTGTGTTTGTTGTCGTTGTTGTTGTGGTGGTGGTGGCTGTGGTTGTTGTCGTTGTTGTTGTGGTGGTGGCAGTGGTTGTTGTCGTCATCGTTGTTGTGGTGGTGCTGGCAGTGGTTGTTGTCGTCATCGTTGTTGTGGTGCTGGTGGCAGTGGTTGTTGTCGTTGTTGTTGTGGTGCTGGTGGCAGTGGTTGTTGTCGTCATCGTTGTTGTGGTGGTGCTGGCGGTGGTTGTTGTCGTCTTGTTGTGGAAGATGGTGGCGCGGGAGGTAGTGCTATTGTTTGGCAACCAGAGGGTTGCAGGTTCAATCCCTGGTTCCTCCTGACCCCATCAAAGTGTCCTTGAGCAAGACACTGAACCCCAAATTGCTCCCGGTGTGCAGGTTGGTGCCTTGCATGGCAGCCTCTGCCACTGGTGTGTGAATGTGAGTGTGGATGGTGAATGTGAGGCATGTATTGTAAAGCGCTTTGAGTACTCATAGGAGTAGAAAAGCGCTATATAAATGCAGTCCATTTACCATTTGTTGTGGTGGTTGTTGTTGTTGTTGTTGTGGTGGTGGTGCTGCCGGTGGTTGTTGTCGTCATCGTTGTTGTGGTGGTGCTGGCGGTTGTTGTTGTTGTTATTGTGGGGTTGGTTGAGCAGCTGTGTGTGGTCGTGTGTCCCTGTCTGACTTCACCTGCACCCACTTTGACAGAGGACTCCTGACAAGCATCTCCGGCTGAGCTACCCGCTGACCCAAAAGCATCCATAATTCTGCTGTCCCCCCACATGCAGCTGGCAGTGCCAGAGGAATTTGTGTTGCTTCTGGAATGGTGGGAGAGGAGGCATAAGCCATGGGAAGCAGATGAAGGTCAGGTTAAGTCATGGGTGAGGAACTACCCTAAAGGCACACTGAAAACACCACAAACATGGAGACCTCTCACAAGGCATATCGTGTGGTGATGAAGATATACCTTTGTTCGGTGACATATCCATGCATTTTTTGATCTATGTGCCTGTGTGGACAGGAAACCAGTAAATAGAATACCAAATCATCCCAGTGTCTGGGTATTTCCACTATCAGTAACTAGAATTGTAAGAACTGACCTGTGCAAGGACAGATGGGCTGAAACAGAGCTCTCAAATACCTGTTAGAGTGCCCCATAGTGGCTGTAAGAGCCAAAATGGAAATCTGCATATTTATGGCAATGCAGTGCCTGAAACTGTGTTTTTTTAAGGTGGTGCAGTGCCTTATACTGTGTTTATTTATGGCAGTGCTGTGCCTTATTCTATGTTTATGGCAGTGCAGTGCCGTGTACTGTGTTTTAATGGCAGTACAGTGCCTTATACTGTGTTTATTTATGGCAGTGCTGTGCCTTATTCTATGTTTATGGCAGTGCAGTGCCGTGTACTGTGTTTTAATGGCAGTACAGTGCCTTATACTGTGTTTATTTATGGCAGTGCTGTGCCTTATTCTATGTTTATGGCAGTGCAGTGCCGTGTACTGTGTTTTAATGGCAGTACAGTGCCTTATTCTGTGATTTTTGAATCTCTCTCTCTTTCTAGAGGATGGAGAAGTGAAAACGTAAAGGCTGGTGCTTGTACCTGGCGAGATTGGCCAGGGCAAGAAGAGATGGTCTTTGATCTCACTCCTCACTCCATGTTTTGCCACAGAATTTCACTGCAATCTATATTTTATCTATGCAATGCTTATTTCCATCACCCTTTTGAACTTCTGCATCTAACTCCGACCGTAAGGGCATTTGGCAGGACAATAAGGCCCCAAAAGTCCAGCAGTCACTCTGCAGCCCATGTCAATCTGCCTTACCGCATTCATAATCCATTTGCCCAGAGGTTCCACTACTTCCTTTAGGCACTGGGTTAATCAGACAGCTGTGGCTTCACACTGAGGGGAGGTCACAATTACCAACTTGTAGTCATGGTTACCACTTACTAACCATCACACTTCGAGTGTCAGGTAGAAGGCTCTCTGGCCTGAGGGGTCAATCCAGAGATTGTGTGCCACTTCCGTGACATGTCAGAACTGTCTTCACTGGGCCCTGGTTTTTTAAATGTATTTCATAACACAGAAAACCAAAAGTTCCAGCAGCTGTTTAAGCGGAAGCCAAGAGGAAAACTGGGCAGCATCAGGGACAGGGGCCAGAGAAAGGGCCCTGTCTTTTTGATACCAGGCTGGACATAGCAGGACCCATGCTGCTCTCACCCCCAGCCACTCTGGGATCCAGGGTTTCCATGGCAACCCATCCTCAAGGACATTTTGCAGGCTGGGGGATCAGGTGGGAGGAGCAAGCTCAGAGGAGGCTGGCTCACCTGACTCACGGCTCCTTCACGCTCGCATTCATCCTGTCAGAATACAAACAGTGTTTCATCAGTCACCCTCGGTCTGCAGGCAGGCTGCGCGCACAAGCAGAATGACGGCCTCCTCAGGCTAGCAGCCCTCGCAGCTGTGTGTGTGTCTGTGTGGGTGTGTGTACTGGTGATCCATGTGTCTGTGATTGCATGTATGTCTGTGTGTGTGCTGGGAATGCATGTGTCTGTGATTGTGTGGAGCTGTGTGTGTGCTGGGAATGCATGTGTCTGTGATCGTGTGTAGCTGTGTGTGTGCTGGGAATGCATGTGTCTGTGATTGTGTGTGGCTGGCTGTGGGTGCAGCATGAATGCATGTGTGATTGCGCGTGTGTCTGTGCCACAAATGCATGTGTCTGTGATTCCATGTTTGTCTGTGTGTGTGCTGGGAATGCACGTGTCTGTGATTGCATGTGTGTCTGATCCGTTAATGTATGTGTCTGTATATGTACGTATTTGTGTGAACTTGCAGGTCAGTGCATATGACTGTGTATACAAATGTGGCAGAGGGTGAAGTGTGTAAATACACATGTTTAATTTCATGCCTACATGTTTGTAAGCTTGTCTGTGCTATTTTATATGAGCGCATTTGAATCATTTTGTGTGCTTTGTGTATATGTATGTTTTTGCACTTACTTTGATGTGTGCTATTACATGTCTGTTTGACTGCATGTTAGTTTGTTTGTGTGCTCTTTCACTTGTAATCACATCAATGTCCGTGTATGCATATTGTAGTACCAGTACTTCGCACTTGAGGGCTTAGTTATAAATCAGTAATACTGCTGTAACATACGTGTAGTAGTCCACGGGGGGCGCTATAACACAAATTATTGCTTGTGCTCAAAAACCTCATAGGAGCCTCGTTTAAGATATTGTGATGTAACTGGGAAAGGCTTTTTTAAAAGAACAACAGTCAAGAATGCACACTATATCAGAAATAGTTACAGAAACTGGAAGTGTCAAAAAAAAGTATTTTTAAGAATGTTTAGATTTAAAGTAATTATCATTTCCAAGGGATCCATGCATTTTGATTCTAGCTGTTTAATTCTTTTGGAAGATGGTGTTTATGTGAACCTCTTGTCTAAACTGACGTAGTCAAAGAGGCAAAATTTTAATGCAACTACTGTGTAGCTATTAAACGGCAAAACAGCCAGCAGTAATTAGATGCGTTTATGGCAGTGCAGTGCCTTATTATATTTTCGTTTTCAGCCTGTTTATATATACACGCATCGCATATGAATGCACGAATGTACTTTGTAAGCGTTCATAATGGGTGAAGTGTACTTACGCTTTAAAATGTGCCTCTGTTTTAAAGAGTTTTCCTAAAAATTAATTCGTTAATACATATAGATATCAATCTATGAATATATGTGTAATGTATCTATGAATGTATGTGTAATGTATCTATGAATGTATGTGTAATTATCTATGAATGTATATATACATTCATAGATAATTACACATACATTCATATTCATATATATATATATATACATGTCAGAATCAATTTTATGTAGCTAAGTATATGTTCACCCAGGGAATTTGTCTTCGGTTGTCAGGGGCTCACGTATATACGTACAGCAGGTACAACCACTATATATACTATATATGGTGGACGCGTTGTTGATTCATGCATAAAAAGTGCAGAAGTGCATGTCAAGGCAAGGACTGTTGGAATAAATACTGTACGTACAAAACAATACAATAAGCAGGATAAGGTATATATACAACAATGAGGTATTGCTTGTTAAGAGGAGGGTAACCGTGCAATTGTGCAAATGTGGCATATTCGCTATATGTCACATATGTGAAATCATTAAAAACACCCCCATCCATCCATCTTCCAACGCTTCTACCACATTAGACATATTGTGACTGCAGAACGCGCAAGACTTCTTCCGCATTTCAACTTGACGTCTTCTGACGGGAAATACATTTCCCAGAATCCCTTAGGGCTGAGCACGGCTGCTCCTCACAGCACTGGGAGCGGAGAGACTCCGTCGATCGCAGGGCTGTGAGCGCGCACCGATTCTGTTCATTTTGCTGTCCCACTGCGAAATGAACGGGCTGGACGGAGGCAGGGCGTTTCATCCGCGCTGAACAGCTCAACTTGATTAAAAAAGCACTTTGCCTTTTGGATGATGACGACAATATAGCTTTCTAGATGAGTTAGCTATAGTCAGTTGCATTATTGGGTGTTTGGAACGGCGATTGGGGATCATTACTTACCCATAACATCAAGGTGGTATGCTTAACTACTCTTGTTTCAGTAACCAGTTGCTTCTAATTATCCGCGATAGCTGTACGTGGGACAAGTACAGTTGCGAATAATATCTTTTTCTCATGTGAATGCCAACGCCTTATTTTCTTCTTTTACTGCTTCTTGGTTATCTGTGCTGGAGAAGTAACCAACTGGCAGCCGCAATTTCGCCAATTTTTTATATGTAGTTTTTATTTTAAAAGAAATTGCTCTATACCAAGGGCTTCAAAGTAAGACGCTTGGGTGTAGGTTTAACTGCGGGAAAATCAGTATTCAAAATGGGCTGCACGCTCAGTGCCGAGGACAAAGCAGCGGTGGAGAGGAGTAAGATGATCGATCGGAACCTCAGGGAAGATGGGGAGAAAGCGTCCAGAGAAGTCAAACTGCTCCTGCTCGGTGAGTACCTCCATCTGCAGCTTATCAGAATTATTATTCACACGTATCTCCTATATAATTAATCGTCCCGGTAGTGGCCGATTTTCCACTCTGGACACCCGTCCTTTGCCCAACGTTTTAAAAGCGTGTCCAGATGGCTGACCGGAGCCCGGTGGGTCAGGGAGGGCTGCGGGGCGAAGGAGCCTCGGCTCCGGGTTTCGGGGCGTTGCTGCTGGCGCCGCTGCGGTAAGCCGTGCAGGTGTGTTTAAGAGGTGCTGGGGGATTCTTTAGTGCCGAATCGTTAAAACAAGTATGAAGTAATTTGCAGTAGGTATTAGCATATTTCTTATAGTGCTTCGTATTCATTTTCAAACTTAAGCGAATACAGTTTTTCAGACTGAAGTGGCCCAATGTGACATGGAGTGTTCCGCCTCGGTTCTTCAGGGCAGAGCTGGATTGACCTTCCACTTAATTTAGTTGCTTAGCTGACCGGTTGCATTCAAATCCGGCGATGTAGTCCGCATTTTTTTAACATTATTCGTTGAGAGAGGATTTGTGTTTAACTGAAGAAACAATTTTATTACCTTCTGTCAAGAAATAAGCTCCTCCTGGCACCATGTTGGTGCCAAGTCCAGTTTCTCGCCAAGCATGTCCACCTGCTTCTTCCTAACTGCACTTCTCTGATAGGATAGAATATTCTAGGTTCCTTGAGTATAACTGTCTAGCTGAATTTATAATGAAAATGTAAAGATTGTATACCTACAAAAACTCATTGAAGAGGAAAATTTTTGCGTAATCCTTGTGTGCATACCAGGAAAGTCTTTGCTCATTCCCTCACCCTTGGCCATGTTGGACTTGTCCTAATTCTGTGTTCCAGTTCATCCCAAAGATGTTTTATTGGGTTGAGGTCAACTGCCAAATGTTAGCAGAATATTTTCAGGTGTCATGTTCACTGGCACTCGTCTTCCTTCTGTCAGTGAGGTGGGACACTGACATCCTGTCTGGAGTCACTGTCTGTGCTCTGGAATCATGTGTCCTGTTACTTTTCATGGGATACTTTAGCCATTTTTTTTATTTTATGGAGTCAATACCCTTGTGGAGCTAAATGCTGAACCTCAGCGGTGACACACCCCCCAGACCGGAAGTTGGCCCCGGTCACTTTGTGTCACACTTGGAGACCGGCAGTGACTGGTCAGTCAGGCCAGAATGGGGGCAATTTTATATATATATGAAATATCACTAATTGAGGTAGTGGCAGAA